TGATTTACTTTAAAAGATCTTTTATAATTTTTAATAACAGATCGTGTTTATATTGACATCCAACAAGACTTCTTCAAATTTATATCATATATGTGTATGTAGATGAACTCATTTCGTATTATGCTGGAAAAAAAGACTCAAAATTTATTAAAAAGAAAGCAAATCTTCAATTTAGACGTTCCCTATACAGAAAATATTTAAGTTGAATAAAGTTTTATGATAATTTATTAAATTTTTGCGAAATATTAAAATCTGAGAGAATGTACAAGTGAAAAAACAAAATTATGGGTAAAAATTTGTTCGCCGAAGCAAGAAGGAAAATAAGTCTTCGAAAAAATGAATTTTATAATGATGAAAGTACAGTCACTGCTATAAAATAACCCTGTACTGGGAGAGATAGAGAAGAATATCATTTAGAACAGCGAGTTTAAGGCTTTTGCAGTAAACTAATTCCGGGTAATAAATGTCAATCATTTTAAGATGAAATACTCTTCTCTTATTTTCATGCATATTACATACGCATCATAGCTGCTGATTATGAAAAGGACATCACTATAACAGCAAGTGGAAACGTGTTGTTTTATATGTAGTTAAACCGACTTTTTTAGTTTGAGTTCAGTTTCGAGATTTATTTCATTGTCATCATTATTTAATACATAATCTTATAATCTTTTATAATTATTGTGTAAGCAGTAATGTAAGAAACCACTATTTCCACATCAAATAGCCCTTCAAACATTTCATCCAGCGAATATGTGGTTTGAGAGGCAACCGCGCTGTGCCCACTCAAACTGCGTGCCTACAGTCTAAATATCGTTAATTCATCTCCAAAATTTTAATCGTTTGCATATTGTAATTATATACGTACACATATTAAAGAATATAATTACGCGGCTTATAACACTTTCACTATTTATTTTTAATATTTATGGATTTACAAACATACTCGCATTTAAATAACAATTATAAATATGTACATATATCATGTGTGGTGTGATTATAATCAAATTCATCTCTCAAGTGTTTATCTTTTTTACATAATTCTGTATTTAATTTCAAGGACTATATTCTTTCTTTTTCTTTGGTGTATTCAAAATTTTCACACCATCTACTTTTATATTCATGTCCTGTTTAATTTTCAAATTCACAAAATACCTTAAAATAATAACATTTTTGCTAGATTAAAAAAAGAAAATTAGAAAAATCTACTGGTACTTGCAAACCAACACACAAAAATATACAAAACAAATATAATTTATCAATGTCATTTTTAACCCTCGACAAAATGCATTGAAAATCTAATTTTAATATTTTATATGTATAAGAGAATTTTCGATTTTACTCTCTCACGACACTTCAAATTTCCTAATTTCAACACTTAAAAGTTCATAATTTCTATGTTAAGTAAGTAATAGGAAAAATTTAAAATATAATAACGGTTTTTTTATCCTTAATAACCAAAAACTTCACATCAATATAAGAGCAAGCACTTCATTCATTATGAACCGAAAATATTTTTAAATATACCGCATTTATTTAATAACGATCTTTTGAAGCACGTACTCTTTAATAATATCGTAATAAAAGGACAAACGCATAAGGATATTATAAAAATATTATAAATGTTCACATTTACACGAACTCATGGTAAAAAAATTGCACTTTCATTTTATAATATTTGACAAAGAATTTTAAGTGTTCAGCAGGGGTGAAAAGATCATAGAAAAAAAAAAAACGGAAAAGGGGTGATAAAAATTGTTTATATTTTTTTTTTTGTATTTGTTGCATTTTTCTCTTACACTCCTTATTATTTGAGTTTTGTATAGTTATACAAGATAAACATTCGGTTGAATGTGGGAATGAGAAGTCCTTCCTTTAATTTTTACACTGTTTTACACTGTTAAAAAGTTATAAAAGGTTGATTTTTGGGTGAAAATTGATAAAATTGAATTTAATTGATTTAGTGTTTTTGTCCTTTCTAATGTGAAAGTATTTAGGGGAATTTAAAGTATTTTTGGTATGTATAATTGTGTTATACTCATTATATCCCATATACATATGCATATATATATATTATGTTATATATATTGTGAATATATCATTATTTAGTAAAGGTAATGAGGGAAAAATAATGAAATTTCAAAAACATTTTTACACCAAAAATATGCGGGTGATTTCTGCAATAAAATGCGGGATTCGTGCATTGCATTTTTAATAAATACATACATGCATTTGGTTCAATAAAAATTAAAGGCAAAAAGTTATATATTTAATAGAAAAATATTATAAGGTAGCTATAATGTATTTAAGTTTCACGTAAAGGTGAAAACGGTTAACGTATACCTACAATAATTTTTTTGACAAAAGCAGATGTCTATATACCTATTCATTTAAAAATTATGTAAGGGAAATTTTATAATTTCAAATGAAATTTTCGATTTAAAATTTGACTAACATTTTTAATTCTATAGCATAAAGGGCTATTCACAATTTGTTATACGTAACATATGCATTTGAAATATTAATGTTTTCGTACTCAGAAATTGGGCGCAATAACATTTATTTACTCGCATATTAACAATTAACTTGCGTGAGAATAACTGAGAAAAGTCAAACAATGAATACATCAACTCAGTGACAATAAAATTACTTTTATCTAAACTTATGACACTTTAAAAGCTTTTTTTTTTAATCCCAATTAGAACAAAATGAGAGTTTCATTTCTTAAACTTTCAAAATTTTAAGAGAAATTTTAAAACTCTTCGTTTATTTTGTATGAATCAACGATGTATGAATCTATATGCATATAAAATATTTATTTAATGTACATACAGATAACACATACACAATACTACTGTCAAGGTCGCAAAGATTAACAAAATAAACCGTACTTTAAATAAAACTAAAAATAAACCTTCTTTTCTTTTCTAATTTAATCGTAAATTGAAAAAAATATTGTCGATTCGTCAATTAGGTCAAACTATCTGAAGATATATAAAAATGGGTTTACATACATATACATGCATAATTTGTTATATTCGGACCAACTACTCATGCCGGTTAGTTTAAAAACAAAAATTTATAAAGTTTTACAATAATGTTGCTACTACTTTTAAAAGTCTATAAATTAATTTGGTTAAGCTAAATTGAAATTAGGCGAAATGTTTGTTTTACTATAATAATTAAATATAATTGATTGTTTGGAGTTGTGTTAGTGAATTACAAAATTGTCAAATCATTAACAGCTACACACCTAGACTAAAGTTGATACTAAAATCTTTTGTTTCATTACGTGAACATTTAAATTGCAATTTCAAACCATCCAACTAGAATTCCGCTATTACAATCATAATTAACCAACTACAAATAACTACAAAAATATGCACTATAAGTTTTGTCAACGATATCTATGACATTAAAATATACTTACATTCAGGTGGGATCTCAAACATTCAAATTTCTTTTACATTTTTGACTCTGCTCTAAGCATTTTATTATTTTTATTGTTACAATTTAATTCATTTGAATTTTTTTTTATTTTTTGCAAAAGAAATGCACGTTTTATTTCTATTTTTATTAAAGATTTTTTTAAATATACATACGTTATGTATATAAGTATGTATGTCTCAATTATTTTAATTTTTATTCAGAGTATAAATTGGTTTTAAAATTTTTAGAGATATGCCTGTAAAATTTGTAAGCATATACAGTTGAACACATTTTTTTGCAATACGCATATATGCAAAACTCATTTATATGCGTTGCTTTTTTTCTCTGCATGTAATTTTTCTGATTCCTGATGTTATTTGTAACGCTTAACTACAATTCTTTGATAATTTTGTCAGAGTTTCATACAAGGCGATTCTGATTTTTGCTTATAAACATAAAATTTTTTGGCAACGTTATTGATAAAAATAAATTTTGGTGAGCCATCTGGCGCGTAACATAGGAATTGTTAATTTATATTCAATATAATAACTTACCCATAATACATTTTCGTTGTCATTTCTATTATAAAGTTGACAAAAAAATTTAATGTTGCAAATAGGAAATGGATAATTGTTCAATACTGATATCTGCAGGAAAAATTCTGCCCAAAAGGGTATGCGTATAATTGTGTTCGACTGTAGATACTTATATACAATAAAATGAACAGTAAGTTTATGTAAAATTTGGCTTACCATTTCGTTAGATTTAAAGAAAATAAAACTATTACTTCCATCAAATTTTAATGGCTTTTTATTTAAGATTAAATGAATAAATAGGAAAGGTACATCTTTCTTTTGATAGTTATAAAAAAACTACATAGCTTTGGAATGCTGTACAACTTATTATTTTACAACTCATAATTGAAAACCTAATGGAATTTTTTTCCCTGATTTTTAAATTTTTTAAGACCAAATGGTAATCTTTTAAACCACGTGGTTTGCTCATAAAATTGCATAAAATTCAAAATAGATTGACTTTGTCAACCTGCAGGATATCGATGACGATTTCCAAATGGGAATATGTATAGTATAGTTAAGAACGGTGTTATAACTATCTATTTATTTAACCAAAGTAACCTATATATCTTATGAGATAAATATTTTGTATGTTTACGTATGTGTGCCTGGGTATACTAGGCCTCTGCAATAAAATCTTTTAAAATATCTTAGATTTTTATTTTACCAGCACTTATGAAACGACTGGAAACTCATAACCTACAAGTAAAATTATTGTATATATTCCAAAAATAATAACAAATAAATTATTATTTGTAAGTAGCGCCTACGTCATATTATAATGATTTAGTTCTATATTATAATGTATAGGTGTCGACACTATCTATATACATATGTCGAAAAAATTAAATTGCATTTGCAATTCAAGAGAAAAATCGCAAAGAGGGCAAAATAATAAAGAAAAAGCTTTTTTTTTTTTTAATTTTCTAAATATAGAAATCAAATCCTTAAAATCTACTCAAGTCGAAAATGAGATGAAAAATATTTTATTATTGTAGATAAAATCTCAAATTTCATCTAAAGAAGTTTAAAAAAATCTAAGACGGAAATTACATATTTGTTTGTTACAAGTACAGACTAGTTCACGTTATCAGATTTGTACTCATAAAGTGTGAGAGAGGTTGCGCGCAAAATTTTTTCATTTTCAAAATCGTAATTATTTTCCTGTCATATCGAATAAGTCAAATCAAAATATTTATTAAAAAATTATTAAATACAAATTATTTTAAAATGAAGAAAAAAATTTTATTAATAATATTTATAATTGAAATTTTCATTATTGGAATTGCAACAAAAGAAAAATATCCAAAATATTTGGTAATTTATCGTAATAACACATTCAAAGTTAGCAATAAACCTTATTTATTAGAATCAAATAATAAAAATGGTGAGTTTTGAATATTCATTCAAAGTACATACATATATGCATATATGTACATATAAATTTTATATTTTATAGAATATCCAGACAAATGCTTTATAAATTTTTATAAAAAAGTATGGGATATTGGTACAATTTATAATCCACCAGATGAATGTAAAAGGATGACATGTACGGAAAATGGACGAATTCAAGTTGAACAGTTAAAACAATTTTTTTTCCAAATTATATTTTAGACTAACAGAACTGAATAAATGGTAATAATAATTTTATTTTTTATATTTTAGTTGTGGTGCTGTTACTGCTGATGGTATTATATGCCGTACACATCGTGAAGGTGATGGTCCATATCCAGCTTGCTGTTGGATATTTAAATGTAAAGCACGTGATAATAAAGAATTCTTATATAATCCTTTAACACCATATGAAGGTGATCTTGAAGAAGAATAAAAATTTCGCAATACATATGCATATTATGTAGACAATTGAAAAATTCAAATTAAAGTACCTATAGTTTTATTTTTAATATAATTTCAAATTTATAAACTATTTATTTATTGAAAAAATATTATTTATTTGAATTTATGTAAAAGTATATAGATTATGAAATTTACAATATTACCTATCATATTATTTTATGTGTTTGATTAAATATAAGAGAATGAGCTGTGGTAAAAATATTTCAGATAATTACAAAATGAATTGCATATAAGTATGGTTTAGATTAGTTTAAGCTGACCAATAATTTTTCAATATAAAATATAGAAGCTGAAGAAATTGAAGAGTGTATAGATATAAATTGTCGAATGATTAAAAAAATATGTATTTGTTGTTCTAATTAAATTTTACAAATTAAATTTCTTTTAGCAAAAAATTTGATTTAACATATTGACTTTATATTGAAAATTAGTTTGTAGACAGAATAATTATGTATAAAGAGTATAAAATATGAAGAATATGTAAAAATGTTGTTTAGAAGTAAGTTTTGAAATTTCAAGCTATTACTATAGTTTCGAAAAATTAAATTTTCTTTAATTTTGTCTGAACACGTACCAAAATTAATATAGGAATGGTATTTTTTGTTAGATTTTTTATTTTTTTATATCAGAGAATTCAGAGATAACCCATTTTTATGTCGAAAATATGTCAGAATTACAATAATTTCAAGTTCTTTTTACCCTCGTGTTAATCTAAAAATTCATAGTAACTTATTTCGCAACAAATTTTTTGCAAACACCAACTTTTGCAAAATATTTATTGTATTGACTTTACGCCTTTCTATATAATTTAAGACAATTTTCATTGGGAAATAATTGGAAAAGAAGCAATTATAAAATAAAATGGGAATAAGTAGAAAAAAAATTAGAATAGGAATCAGGGATTTTGTTCAACTTAAAAAATAAGAAATTAAAAAATTTAAAATTTTGCTCGTTAGTTTAATGAAGAAATAAAGTAACTAAAACTGTGTAGTCGTTTTCCAAATTGGGAGTTTTAAATTTCTTTCACCTCTATGAATTGCATTTCTATAAAATAATATTACAATCAAAATTTAATGGTTATAACTTAATTTTCAAATAGTTTATTTAACAATATAATATAAAATTATCTAATCTTGAGAACATAATTCAATTTTTAATAATTCTCGCACATTATTTTAAAAAAGCAGCTAACGAGTGTTAGATTTACAAAAACGTAACATTTACTCATTAAAAAATTAAAAAACCCATCGTTTATAATACGGTCTTTCACGGCCACCACCTGGTACTGATGGATTATATATATATGGTACTGAATCATTTAATCTACGGCATAAAAATCTTGTACAACATCCTGGATATGGTCTACTAAAATCCATTCCAATATTTTGGCAATATCTATTTGTATAACCATCTTCAGCTGATTCAACTTCACCACAACTAAAATTAAAATCATAACATGTAGTTAGTTTTTTTTGGTATCACCCAAATCTTCAATTTACTTTTAAATTTAATATTTTAACTTTTACCTTAATATTGATACTTCTCCAGGTCTAATGCATCTTGCAATCCAACATTGACTTCCTGGTCCCCAATGTTCACCGACACCCCAATAATTTCCAGTTGAACGAAAATAACATTCTTGTGGTTTATCTATTCATTAATGCATAAAATAATTTACAAAACGTTTTAATTCCTTAATTTAATAACTAAAAATTGTTTTGCTTTGACAATTAAATTTTTATCACCTTATTACTTATACGCAATTACCTTCGTTATGCCATGAATCTTCTTCTATCGGTTCTAAATCTCTTAAAATAAATGTTAAATTATCAAATGTAACACGAGAATCAAATCCTTTAATTATTTGCAATTTTATCGCCATTAATAGAAAAAGTAAATAAATTTTTAAAAAATTATTCATTATTAAATTTTTAAAATTCTATAATAGAGAAGATGTTGGATAACTATACTGCAATTTTCAAATGTATACTGGGATTGAAAAATGTAAAAAACTAGTCTTTAAATAGATTTTTTTTTCTATTTCTGACTTAATCAATTGATATGTTAATTAGTTCTTAATTGAATATTGCACCAAAAAATTAAATATTCCAATATGATACGATCTGTGGGTTGTGTAGAAAGCAAATTACCCCCCTGGAAATTTGTGCTCTTATTGTGGTGAAAACTAAACTATACGTAGTCGAAATTATCTATAGAAAAATTGCATTTATTAATTTAATATTTTGCATCAGAGTTTTTTTTTCTATGTATCTATAAATTAATTAGAATTATGAGAAGTGCATGGGATGTAACCATACGTCATTTACTAAATTCTTTATTTTTCATTCAAAATACATAATTTTAGATTATTGAGGTAAATATGATGTAAGGAGAATTAGTAAGATCATGCACATGTTTGCTATTGGCCTCATCACAAGAATCTATTTTCGAACGACCTCTCTGCACCTTAATTATTCTCTCTTCTAATAAGAATCTATTTTCGAAGGTAACTGCACCTTAAACACCCTTAAATATATCTGTTAATTAAATCTTGAGTGGTATAAGAAAATCATTTTTGGTATACCTCTGGTAACACTATCTACATTATCACCAAAGAATTTCTTAACCGGTTAATTATATTTTTTTTCTCTTTCATCATATTTTATGAATATAAATGCAAGTATAGCTTTTATAAACACAAAAAACAAACCCAATTAAGAAAAAATTTATTCATAAAAACATCAAATATTTAAGGAACGGAACTTACTAACTATCAAGTATTTTGCTTTTCTGTTTTGAACAAACATTTAGTATACCTTCTTTTTATTTTAATTTTTTGGCAAAAATATTTTAAAATGAGGAAAGTAAATATCCGGGTGATAAATCATTTATTAAAAACTTAATGACAAAATATCTTGTATAAAACTGACACCTTTACATTTTATTAATAAAGGATTTAAAATTTTATTTTACCTCCAAAAAATATCAATTTGCTTTGATAATTAATTAAAATTTCTTATAAGTTATAACGAAAAATAAAAAAAAAAATTATTTTGACTTTATACAATGTGAGCATTCATTAGTGTTCGCACAAAAACTCGTCGTACATCAAAAAAATCACGCTGTGCTCCAATAATTGATGTGCATTAGCAAGTTCTTCACTTACCAAACATAAACTACAGACATGAGTTGACCACACTACCATACAGAATGTGAAATGAGTTTAAATCACATGTCATTTACCTTTATGCGTCTTAATTTTTATTTATTTTTTTATTTTATTTTCAGCTGTTATTCATTGAAAACTTTAAAATATACGCGTTTTTATTTGTTTGTTTTTTTTTGGAAACAATTTTTTTAGAATTTTCAAAAAAAAAAAAAAAATAATTGTTTATCTGTGATTTACGTCAAAATATTCGTATTTGGAGCTTTTTAATTGTTGTTTATTAAAATAGTCCCGGTTGCTTAAGGGGACAACAGTTAAGTAGATGAATTGAAAAGAAAACCTTAGCAATTTAATAAATTTCAGAAAGAAAGCCTTACATTTGCAATTTGCAACAGTATAAAGCGAAAATATCGAAATTTTATGTTCATACGACCAAAATACGGGAGAGCTTCAGTCATAATTTTGTAACAATATTGGCAAATCTTAGGAAATTTACCTATGGGTAAGTGTGACACAGATAAAATATTTCCTATTGTGCTGTGAATATACAGATGAATATTTTTGTTCTTTTCGTTTTCTCCAAAAACTGAGCAGTGTCCGTAATTTTGTTGCCTTCTTCTTCTTCTTCTACAGAAAGTCTTCTACTTTCTGTAAAAAAACGTAAACTAAAAATTACTGTCAACCGTTATGTTGGGGAAAATTATTATCAACTGACAGCAGGTGACTTGACAATACTTTTGAATTTTCATATTTGTCAATATTTTTACTTTGAATTTGAGCTGCTGAATAGTTTTTAAAGAAAGTTTGAATTAACGAAATATTTCAATTTAATTTCAGAAATATTGAGAGTGTTTAATAGAAAGACTCAAAAATAACATCTCTAATATTCATATAGTGTTTTTATCGGGAAATTAACGCTAATACGTAATTTCTTATTATTTTGTTTTATAATCTTAATTGATTTTGGCGACTTAAAAAATTTTTTTTTTTTAGAACAATTTTTTTTTGTGAACAGTTCACTTCCGTTAAAATTAGTCATCTTTATAAGTTACTCTAAGTTACAATATTTCTGTAACCATATTATGTACAACAAAGTTAAATTAATCGTATTCTTAAAGTTTACATAAACAAACTTACTTATTAGAGTATATGTATATATGTATGTATGTTTATATATGTATACATCTAAGAATAATGTGTATGTTTGTACATAAAACCTATAAAAATGTATTAAGTTCAGTATTTGAATTGTATTTAGTTCAAAATTTTGTATATATATTTTCTGAAATAAAATGTACAATTTAATTTTATAAATTATTGTAAATGAGCCCAATTACTCAATTTAATAGACATGATTTGTGAATAAGTAGAATATTAAAGGAGATATGAGATAAACTTAAAATGAAAAGTAAGTATAGGTTCAAAAAAATTGTGACGAAAATAAAATGGCACAATTGTATATTTAAGTAATATTTTCAACTACTGGGTTAAAAATTTTAGAGTGATTAATGTTTAATAGATATTATTCGGGACAAAATTCGGGACAATTCGTTAATTAATACGAAATCATTTCCAGTTACGAAATATGTGTGTAGAACGCAGGTGCTATCAAAACTCGTCAAATTAAGAAAATTCATGTGTCTGCTTGGAATATAATTTACAAAATTATATGTATATATGTAAACTCGCCAGCAAATTAGTGCGGTGAATAATTGTTATTTTGCTCACATTAAACTCATGCGATCGAATCAAGATCTACGAAACTGAAGATTTATAAGACCCCGATAAAACCTGTTCTAGCATATGGCTGTGAAGTTTGGAACATGAAAATATCAGATTGCAAACTTCTATCTATATTCGAAAGAAAAATATTGAGAAAAATATGTGAACAACTCCAACTTGAAGATGGCAGTTACAGATTAAGGTTCAATCGTGAATTGAACAGTATAAAAGTATCTTACGTTTTATAAAATCGCAAACAATTGAGTGACTGAGCTATATTCTTCGCACGATAATATTGTTAAAAAGATTTTCTTGCATCGTGAGTGTGGTACAAGAACTAGGGGAAAACCAAAAAGTATAGGTGGTTAGACATGGTAGAAACTGATTTGAGAAGTATGGCTCGTACTAATAACACCGTTTTGGAGCAAGATCGAGAGGAATGGAAGAGAATCGGTGCGGAAGCTTTCAATCACAGGGGGCTTTAATGCTTAGAAAGAAGAAGAAGAAACTTGCCAGCTTATGAAAACATGTCTATCTGTTTATATATGAAAACTCTTTAAATTATGAAAATCGTCTGTCTGAAATGCAATTTATATATGACAACTCGGTCTGGTTATGAAAATATTTCTGTCTATAGATAGCAGTTTCTGTCTGAAACACAGTCTTCATGAAATTACGAATATACTGCTGATCTGGAACACAATTTATAAGAAAATATAAAAATATATCTGTTTGGGGCGCCTCCTACACTTAAATGATATTTTACTAATATCTCGAACATGTCCTGCTTACTTTTCTCCAGGTTATGGTCAATTTTTATCAAAAATATTTTTTTTATTTTTGTTTATATATTTTTACTCTTAAATTCGTATATACGAATTATCTTACATACGAAATACTTTTATTTTTATTATATTATATACTTATATTATTATTTATAATACGTATACATACATTTACACATAATACATACAATATATCTTAGAATTTCATCATAGTAAAAAAAAAATTATGTTTTAGTATAATTTTTGAAATTATTGTATTAAAAACAAAAGAAAAAATGATTAAAACTTGGAGCGGAATTTTAATATTTTTAATACAATTTTTAATAAATATTTTGGAAAGTTCAACATATTTAACAAATTATTCATTAACATATCGTGGTGTTACATTTAGTATAACATATAAATTATATATATTAGATGATGCACAACATGAAGGTCTGAAAATATTTAAAGAATTTGTGAAAAAAAATTATATAAAATAAATAAAATCATTTTTAATCATTTAAGATTACCCAGATCAATGTTATCATGAGCATACTAGACATCCATGGTCTGTTAATGTTTATGTGAGTATGTTTTTCACAGATTAAAACCAGAAAAAATTTTATTAATTTATTTTTAATTTTAGTATCGATGGAAAGGTGAATGTAAATCGTATTATTGTTCTAGACCTGGAACAGTTGTTGTAAGAGAGTAAGTAAGAAAATTTTAAAATGTTATAGAGTTAGACTAGAAACTAGAATTCATCCGGTATAAATCTGTATTTTATAATGCTTAATATTCAAACTTGTTAATTATGAATATTATTTGTTTTTTTTTTAGTGAGCAAAAAGTTCTTATTTAATTGTGTTATTTATTAAACGGGCTGATCAGAAGCAATTAATAAATGAATTATTCAATTAAATTAAATTTTGATTTCAAGCTCATTTGAATTAGTCTTGTTTTCTATTTTTTTTTTTATTTTAATAAAATAAAAATATTATTTACAAAATTTCTCTAAACGGAGAGCTATACAGTGAAACTTGATGCCCACTTGAAACCCACTTAATGTGGGTCGTCCAGATATTTGATTGCAATTACTTTTACGTGATGAGAAAAAAATTTGAAGAATGTTTTGATTTTATTTCAGATACCAGTTGAATCCATGATAAATTATACCTCTACTTAATACTTACAACTCTATAGAAATTTTATTAGTTATTATTTTCGCAAAACCATGAAAACGTTATATGTGAAGAAAATTAATTTGATATATTCGAGATTATATAATACGGTCATATAAATAAATGTTTAATAATAAGGGTCTATGACAAATTAAGACATAAATTTCTTATATAAATTACTAAAACTTTTATTTTATCTATATATAATCTTATATTTTTAGTTGTGGAATTGTTTATGCACCAGAATCATGTAAAATTATTGGTCAAGATTTACAAAAACATCAACCATATTGTTGTCCAATATATGAATGTTCAAGTTCAAGTGGTGAATTATTTACATATAATCCATTGGCACCAAGTGAAAATGATGATGTTACAATTATAGTTAATGATATACCAACACAAAAAGTTAAAAAATAATATACATATACATGTATGTTCATTATTATAGTATTTAAGTGCCATAATATATGTATGTACAATGTGTGTATATAATACACAATGTGTATTTGAGCTCTAATTAATATTAATTTTAATAAATTTTAAGTATACGTACGTATTTTAAATAAAAAAATAATTAGTAATTTCTTCTATAATCTGTAATTACTCACATACTCTTATATATTATATGCTCTTACTTTTATATTTGAAAGCTCGATTTTAATTTTTATAATTGCTTAAAATTCAAAATTTCTAACTGCTTAAAGTTGACTAAAGCTAATCTAAACCCACCAAAACTAATTTGTGTCTGCATTCGAATCTATTTAATCTATTTAAAATAATATTGAAATTTTAATTCATAAAAATTAAAAATTTTGGATCCAAATGAAAATTGGAATCTAATTTTATGAACTAAATGATATTGGTGAAAATTTTAAATTTTCACTTTAATCTGGCAAGTTTGAGTACGAAGTCCCAGTAAATTTTTTTTATTGTTCACTTAATAAATAATATTAACATTTTCTTTTCTTTATTTTAATTAACTATTTTACCATCACTACTATCTATTTCAATAATTTTTACAAATAAAAATTAAGTATCACCTGCAATATCTACCTTGTAGGAAAATTATAAAATCGGTAACAAAAATTTTTAAAGTAATATTAAATTTTTAAAAAAAAATTGCATACTTTTAGGATAAAACATTTTTCAGTTAAATTAAATCATTTGAAATTAAATGAAATTTGTTACTTACATACATACATATAAAACAAAAAAAAATTTTCAATTTTAATTAAATACATAAGACTTATATTGTTTGTGTAAATAACCTCAGATAATTGAGTTTAAATGGGTTAAATTAGAAATTTTATATTACATTAATAACTAATCTATCTCAAGTGGGGTTTGTGTAAATACAAAAACTCTCTTTTTCTCAGTTCCTATTAAATTTTGTTATTGCTTTAATAAAACCTAATTTTAACCTTTTTTTTTTGTTTTACTTTATAGTCCTGTTTATTCTCATAACTTCTTAAAAATTTTGCTGTTTTTAAAAGAAAATTGATTTTGAAATTGAAGAATACAAAAGGAAAAGTCTCAAGAACCAACATTAGATATATACTTTAAAAAATAATGAGCCTTATTCTAGTTGTCGAAGTAGAGCGACAATTGTCGTCACGACTTGAATTTGATATTCTAAATGGCGATTACAGTGACACGTGTCGTGGAATAGCGGGAAAATGTGTTTCAGGTATATTCCAGTTGTCGTTGTAGAGCGACACATGTCGTAGTGAAACGACGTTTTTTGTCGAAATGTATTTAACAAGTGACAAGCGAGATGGATACACCAAAAATGTAAGTTTAAACAAAACAATTTAATAAAAATATAAAAAATAATAAATTTTGTAATTTAATACATAAATTAAACCATATAATATATAATTTAATTTTTATTTTTAACTTAAAAGTAACAACAAGGAAGCAATTTGAAGAATTGGGAAATTTTATGACGGAGAACGCCTTTATTGCGAAAGGCCTTAAATTTGCTGAGAATAGCTGCATAAGCAAATGCGAGTTTGATGCGAAATGGAACCAGCTAACAGAAAAGCTTAATAGCTTGGGTCCGCCCATTAGAAGTACTGCAGGATGGCAGAAGGTAATTTTAACATAAGTTTAATTTAAAATTTAATTAATTTATGTAAATTTCAGGTAATTTTCAATAAAGGAATCATGAGATGATCCCGGATTATTAGCATCCACATACCTGGTGCGCATTTTATGATCGCAAACCTTTAAGTCACATTATATTAAAATATTAAAATTGTTGTTTTTTTTTTCAATTTCATTACTCTCGGAGTCTGATGAATCCATAAACCATAATGCAAATGACGACATTTTTTATTTCCCTCGGATTAAAAATATAAATATATACACCGAATTTTTTTTTTTAGTTTGAACTTTACTCGCCAAAATTTCTTTTTAAAATGTATCAATTTCACTTGAAACGTTTCATTTTCGTTTATTTCTCGCAGTCACGTCACTCGACAACTAGAATACCACATTTCAAGTGATGTGACAGCGACAACGACAAATGTCACGTAAGTGACGCGACAACTAGAATAAGGCTCAATAAGAGCTAAAATATTTTTTTTAAATTTTTGATGTCGTACCACATAAAGTCACTGAAAGTCTATGAGAATAAGGGTGAATATATGAAGAGCACCATATGAATTTTATTAAAATTTCTCTTTTGTTCTTTCAGTTTTGCTATACGATTTCTCAAAACAGTTGCTATTCCATTTTTAATGTCCATTGGGGATTACAAACATTCTCAAAGCTACAACTTTTTGGGGCTTTTTTTTGTCGGATATGCTATATTAAAAGATATTGGAGCATTGTTATATAATTTTTCATAATATGATTTAGAATCTAATTGTGTGTTTCGCTTTTTCGTCTCGCTTTTTATTTATTTTCAAATCAAATTTCTCATCTTTTTAATTGAATAAAACAATTTCCAATAAAATTACTCTAATCGGGTTTTCGAACTCATTTTCATAATGTCGACTGAACCTATCACCTTCAAAAATAAACTGAATAAATATAATGATTAAATTTTGTATGCATTTTACAAAAAAAACGAGATAAAAAATTCGGAAAAATTTTTCTCACTCTGAAATTACATTATACAAATGTATGGTAGTCAATAACCCTCTTGGCGAGTCAAATAGCGAGATATATTGATCACGTCCTTAGGCTATTGTTTTACAGTTTAAGCAGTTCTCATTCAGAATGCATATTGCAATTTTGTATTAAATTACTATTGTCTTTTCAAGAATATCTTCTATTTTTACTTTGATATGTTGTAATTGTTTTATTATAATTCTAATTGCATTATCTATATATATTATATTAAATTCACTAATGATTTGGCTCAGATAGACATATTTAATTACGTAAAATTCAAAAATTCATGTATTTTTATTTGTAAATAATGTTTTTTTCATAAAGCCTTTTGGGCTCTTATTTCTAGTACTTTCCTTAAATTTTTTATTTTTATTTTTCATAATTATTTTAAAGTTCAATTTTAGTATTAAGTTATTTTGAAATGTAATAATTATGTATATATACTCTATACGAGCAAGTTGCTCTTATGAGAAATAAATGAATTGAATTGAAATTGAAAATTTATACTATGTATTTAAATCCTGTGTATGATTTTTAAGCGCAACACTGACTTTGAATAGTAATTATTGATGAACAGTTTATGATTCAAAAAACCATGAGACTTGAAAAGAATTTTTCATTTCAAAACTATAATAGGGAATTGGAAAACAAAAAAAAATAAATGGAATATTTTAAAATATAAAAAACAAATTGTGTTTTTTTTTTAATTATGAAAATAAGAGGAAAATTTTATTAAATCGCCCTTAAATATTTCTTCCTTATAAATAAAATGATAAATTATACAATTTTTTGTTTTCTTTGTGTTTTTTTTTTTTCTCTTTTTTTTCTTTTTAGCAAATATGTATGTATATATTATAACATATATATATATGTATGTAAATATTATAATATATATGTAATTGGATTTCTATAATATTTTTTTTTAATTTTTCTTTCAATTTCTATTTTTGCTTAGTTTTATAAATTTTTGTTTTTTTTTTTTTTCATATATTATAATTTTTTATTTTTGTATTTAATTTAATTTTACATAATTTAGAAAAAAAATAAATATTTCATATAATTTATTTGTTTTTTTTTTTTTAGTTTTTGTTTTTATTTATTTTGTGTATTTATTTTTTTTTTTAATTTATTAATTTTAAATAATAATTATTTATTTATATTATATATATAAAAAAAAAAAATAATAAAATATGTGGAGAAAAATAATAAATTAAAAAATAATTAAAAAAAAAAGAAAACCTTTTCGTTGAGAGAAAATATGATTTGATTTTTTCTTTTTTATATAAATTAAATAATATTTAAGTTATAAGTATATTTAATATATATGTATATAAATATATATTTAAGTAAAATAAATATTATATTTTGAATCAAGATAAGTTGCATAATATGGTTAAAAAAAAATTTATCGTAGAATTGTTTTTTACCATATTGTTTGAATTTCTAAACTGATGGAGATATTATTCAAAGATATTAAAGTAATTTCATTATAAAATTTCATTATAAAATTTCCAAAATGATTTTATTTAGAAAATTATAAAATCTTTTTAATAATAAATAACCCATCGACTAAAATAATGCGTCTAAAACAATTTGGATAATTAATAATAGTTAAATAACTTTTATATTCAAAAATTTAAATATTATTGAGACAAAACAAATTCAAATTAAATTATTATTTAAATAATTACAAAATTTATATAATAAATAATATTAAAATTGCTTAGAATTCTAAAAATTTTCTTTTTTTACAATGTAATGTAAAATATACGTTTAGCATTTAATTGCTATTCTAAATAACTGAATATACTGAATAGTTGAATAGAAAATAACTGAATAGCATTTAATATTGCTATTCTGATAATTTTAATTATAAATAATTTTATTTGTAATTTAATTTAATTATGGTATATTATTAAAAAAAAATATTATTAAACAATAGAAAATTAATTTGATTTACCGAAGTAGATCAATTGATTTGAACAAATATAAGAATTTTACAAGAAAAAAAAGGTTGAATTTTTTAACCATTGTTAAAAGAGGTTGTTAAATATTAAAAAAAAAAATAAATAATTCAATTAAATGAAAATATTCACTTATTTTGATTCAACAAATTATTAAATAAATATATAAATATATACATATAAAATTTCGATTGTTTTTCTTTTTTTTTTGTTATATCATTCATTTCTTGAATTATATAATTCACAAAATTTAATTAAATATTATAAAAAAAAAAAATAATTACTTAAAAATTACATGAAAATTAAAATGAATTAAAATTTTATTTTCTTTCAAAATCAATTAATTAAAACCAAATCCATTTTTTTTTTTTAATTTGTTTTTTCATACAATTTTGTTTTTTTTGCGTGTTTCTTTCATGAATTTTATATAGAAATTTTTGTTTTTAGTTTTTTCATTTGTCAAAAAATAATAAGTGCACAAATATTTTGCCTAAAAATATGTTTTATATTATATATATATATATAAAAAAAAAAGGAAAAATAATAATAATTCTATTTAAATATTAACAATAAATAATATTATTAAAAAAAAAAAAAAAATAATAAAAATAAAATAAGAATGATATAAAATAATTGTTTTTTATTTTTTTTTGTTTTAAATTATAAATGAAATTTGTATTTTCTCATTTTTGTTTTTTTTTTAAATAAAAATAATTAATATTTTTTTTTTTATTTATAATTTTTTTTTTTTAATGTTTTAATTTAATTTTATATATTTATATTTATTAAAACTTTCAAACGGAAGACTGTTTCAATTAAAAAAAAATTCATATATATATATTATATATATTATATATATAATTTATATATATTATGTATATAAATATAATGTTATAAAAAAAATAATTTGTATTAAAAAAACTATTTTGTTTTTTTTTTATTTATTTTAATTCTTTTTTTTTGTTTTATTTCTTATTTATTTTTATTTTTTTGGGAATATTAAAAAAAAAATATTTCTATTTATTATTCTTTAAGTTATTTATTTTTTGCTTATTTAATTATTTAATTTTCTTTATTATGCATTTTCTATATAACTGAAATGAGATTTAATTACAACAAAAAAAAATATATATGTCTGTATTTATAATAAAAACAAAAAGAAAATTTAAGATTATTTATTGCTCCCCCTACTTTCCCACCAAAAAAAAACAAAAAGAAATTGTTCTAATATGCTTTCAAGTGGTTAGTGGGATTCTGACTCAATTTCTGATGGAAAATCATTAAAAAAACTAATTTTATTATAAATTAATTTTTTTTTTTTTTATATAATTCGCTTTTCTTTTTGGCATCACATTCAAATAATTTTTTATTTTACAATAATTATTAAACTTAATTTATTTTATTTCTTAAAAATGAAAAAAAAAAAAAAATTAATATATTTTTAATTATTATTTGCTTTTATTATTTGTAATTAAAATATTCCCAAAAAAAAAAAACAAATTGACAAAAATTAAATTATTTTTTGTTTTTTGTGAATTATGAAATTAAAAGTAATTGTTTTGTATTTCATTCTTCTATTTAATGTTTACACAATAAAATCCAATTATATTTACCCTTTTAAATAAATTAAATATTATAATTAATGTTACAAAAAAAAAATTATTTAATTAAGGCACATTGAGAAATTTTCTTTTATTTATATTTTTTTTTATGTTATTCAATTTTCATACAATTCAATTTAAATTAAAAAAAAAAAATAGAGCTATATACTTGTATATACATAGTATAAAATATAATTCAATATGATTTATAAATTTATTTAATTTTTTTTTTTTTAATATATTTATTTTGTTTTTATTTTCATTCATTCATTTTGTTTTTTTTGTTTTCTTTCATTTTAATCAGTTTTCATATTTTATTTTTTATTTTTATTTATGAAATTCAAAAAAAAACTTTGTAATAATTATTAAATATTAGAATATTAATTTTGATTTTTACTTATAAAAATTTTGTAATTTTAAGTTCAAATAAAGATTAAAGATTATTTTATTAAAAAATAGAATTTTATTTTATAAATATAAAATGTTATATTAAAATTTTAATTCTATAATTTTAAAAAGAGAAAATGAAGTCAGCAAACTGAGTTTGTAATATTGTTACTATATTAAAAAATAAAATAAAAATGTTTTTATTGTGACTCATTAAATTGTGGAATTGTTAAATTGTTATTTTTTTTTATGAAAATAATTAGTTTCGATTTTAATTTAGAAATTTAAGTAAAAGGAATTCAAATTTTATTTAAAAAATATATATATATATATGTATATTTAAAAATACAAAATTTTGTTTTGATTATTTAGAAAATGTTAACCACTTTTCCTTTTTTCAACTGTTTATATAAAAAAACTTTTTATATAAAAAGGAAAATATATATATGTATGTATATATATACTGTATTTAATATCAAATATATTATCTAATATACGGTAATTTTAATTAATAATTATTATTTTAAATTTATTGTAAAATTATTTTTATTTATTTATATATGTATTGTCTTTATAATAAATTGTAAAAATCTTAGTAACATTTTTTTAATTTCACAGTCAAAAATTCATTATATTATTCAAATAATTATTTTGTTTGTTATTTATTTTTTTTTTTAATTACTAAATTTAACAAATAATTTATAATTTAATTAATTCCAAAAAAAAAATATATATATATATATTAAAATTCAAGTCATATTGTAATTCAAATTAATTAAAAAAAAAAAAAAAAACTCTATGGAAATTTTCTTTTAAATAAATATTAAACATTATTTTTAAAATTATTTATAAAATTTTATTTAAAATTACATTTTCATTATTAATCATAAAAACATAAGTTTTCTTTTAATTAGTTTTTTTTTTTTTATAAAAATATAATATTATATAATAAAATATATAATTTAGAATACAAGAATTTATATTTTAAGAAATTATAATTTAGAATTTTAATTAAAAAAAAAAAAATTTTGAGAAATTTACATATTCTGTTCTGTTTTTATAATTAATTCATTTTCTTCTTTTTTCTTCATTATTATATTAGTTAGATTTTCAATGAAATTAGATTCCTTTTTATTTTTGAATTTCTAAAACATAAATTTAAAGTTAAAATTTGGAGGTACAAATATACTTGGGTATATATTATGATAAAAAATTGTTTTTAAGAAAGATTTTAAAAGAAACATTTAAGAAAATTAAATTGTTCAAATAAAAAAAAAATTGTAATCTTGAAAGTATATTTAAGTCAAATTCGATTTGTCACTAGTTACGTTTATTTAAAAAAATATAACCTTTATATATCAATTATATTTGATAATAATTTGAAAGCTTTATAATATATTATAATAATATAATTAAATCATAGAAAATTTTATTCAATATTAAAATGAACTCACATTTAATAATGAGAAAAATAAGTAAATATTTTTTTTTTTAAATAATTACTGGAAAATTGAATTTTGTAATATTTGATTATCATTGAGAATGCTGACAATTATGAACTTTAAATTAATAAAAAATTGATTACATTTAATTAATTATTAAATAGAAATTGAAAATAATAAAAAATTTTAAGAAAAATATTTTGTCATATTGAATTACATGTTCAGAAATGAAATTAATTATTATAATAGAAAAATGTTAAACAAAAACTTTTGTCTAAAAACTTATCAGTTAATTAAAATTTTTCTTAAAAACAAATTCTTATTTGTGTATTTAATTTTTTGTATACATTTTTGTATATTTAAAATTTAATTAAAAAAAAGTAAAAGAATAAGATAGAAAAATCGTAATGAAAATAAAAAATAATTTTTTTTAATGAAAATAAAACAAATATTTATATATATGTAGTAAATTTAGAAAAAAAAAAATTTAGTGCTCCCGTCAAATTTACAATTTTTTGTATTCGTTAAAAGTTCTTTTGTTATTTTTATATGAAAAAAAAAAAATTATTAAAATATTAATATACAAATGAATATAATATATACTTTAAATATTTACATTATAATTATTAAAACAATTTTATATATTTATTGTTAAATACTTATATACATAATATATGTTATTGTATACCATTTTAAATTCCATATTGCAGTAATACAATTCTTATATTTCATTCAGCTTTAGATATAAATTATTGAATTCAAGTTAGTACTAAATTATAAATTCAAATAGAATTTAGATACAGTATGCATTGCATTATGAAACTCAAGAATGTTTTTTTTTCATATAAATATATTATAGGTATATTATTTTATTATAATTATTATTACATATTTTTATATACTTAAAAGCAAAATTTCTTCTGAATGTTTTTATCATAATTTAAATTTAAATAATTATAAAAAAAAAAGGTATGTACATGAATTATATATAATTTTATATATTTTGTTTGTTTTTTTTCGTATCCTTAAATTTTTAAAATAATTAATATTATATAATATGTGTATATGTATAAAGAATATTTTTTTTTTATTATTTCTTTGATTTATCTTCGTTAAGTTAATCTTTTATTAAAATTTATTCAAAAAACAAAAAAATGAAAGAAATTTTTATTCTTTCTTATTCTATTTTCTTTTCTGATTCCCATTTTAAATTTTAATTTCCAATAATGTTTATAATTAAATATAAAATTTGTTTTATTTTGTTTCATAAATTAATTCCTTAATAAAAAAAAATAAAAAAAAAAAACTCCAGCTATGACTTAAAAAATTTACAATAAAAATAATTAATTATTTTAGTTTTTTGTTTAAATTAAATAAAATCATTTCGATAAATCCAATAATCAAATATTTAGTTTTTAAATAATTAATAATTAAATAATATAATTTATTAATTTGTGTGTTTTTTTTTTGTTTAACTAATTATATAATATGCATAGATATATAAATTAATTTCTAAAATTTATGTAAATATGTATGTAATATATAAATAATTATTATAATTTATTTATTATTTTTTTTTTTTTGTTTTTTTTTCTTATTTTGATTAATTTTGTTTTTTTTTTTGTACAAAAAATATATATTAAATTATATAATTAAAAAAAAATAAAATAATAGTTCTGGGTGACATAAGAATTCGGCAAATTAGCGAAATATAATTAAATAATATTTAATGGGTGTCCAGTATAATTTTATATAAATGTATTGTAATTAAATATTATAATATTTCACAAAATATCAATATATTTTTTTTATTATTAAATTAATTTTCTGAATAAATTAAATAAAGTTTTTTTTTTTCATAATTTTCATTTCTATATCAAAAATAATATTGTTATTGAAAATATAGTTGAAATTTTTGTTTTGTTTTTTTCTTTTAAATTATATTTTTACATGAATCTGTATAAAAATATTTAATATATAATAAGTATATAGATTTTCATAAATAAAATTTGTGGAAAAAATAATAATAATAATAATTATAAAAATAATAATAAATTATTGATTTTTGTGTTTATTTTTTTTTTTTTTTTTTCAAATTAAATTTTAATAAAAGTTAATTTATTTTCTCAAATATTAAATATTTTGTTTAAATATTAAAAGTACTAAAAGCATCAATTGTTTTACTTAAACGATTAAAAACTGGTAAACGTGCCTCTTCACTTGGTGATCCACCACCATTACCATTTAATAATGTATTAACATTATTTGCATTATTATTATTATTGTTACTAATATTATTTGTACCAATTATTGATATTGGTGAAGTGCGATTTAATGAATGTTGTTTTTGTAAAATTCTATGTGCATTTATTGTTGTTGGTTGCTGTTGTTGTTGCTGCTGCTGCGGTAATGTACCATTTATCATAGAATTAATAATAATACCACCACAATTACCACCACCAATTAAATTTAATTGTGCAGCTGTTGATGAAGTTGAAGATGATGATGAAGATGTTGTTGATGATGCTGATGATAATGTTAAAGATGTTGGTGGTGGAGATGGTGTTTGTGCTGGACTAGATGGTGGCGATGGATTAAATGAAAATTGTTGAGATTGTAATATTGTATTGCTATTTGGTGATATTTGATCAATGAATGGGAAACCGACCATTGAACTTGTTGGTGATAATGAACCAGTTGGTGATGCACGATCAGAACCAGTTGACATGCTTAATGGTGGACTTAATGGTAATTGATGATGTTGATTTTGTTGCTGTTGTTGTTGTTGCTGCTGTTGTTGTAAATTAGTATTTGTTAAATTTGTCAAATGATTTAAATTCAATTGTTGACGTGTCTGCTGTTGTTGTTGTTGTTGTGCAGCAGCAGCTGCAACAGTTGCCAAACGTGTATAAGCAACGGCAGCAGCATTACGTTGTGCAGCGATAGCGGCAGCAGCAGCAGCTGCAATTCTTGCTTGTTGTTGTTCTTGCTGTTGCTGAAAACGTGCTTCATCTTGATTATGTACAAAATGACAACGCGGTCCATATGGGCAAAAACCAACACTATGAAATGTACGACAATATTCAGTTTTATATTTTGGATGACGTTGTAAATTACGTAGTTCCTGCATGCCATGAGCAAATTGACATTTTTCACCGTATTTACATTCACCAGCTTCTTCAAATGGTCGACATAATTCCGTTTTATATCTAAAAAGAAAAAAAAAATGTCAAAAAATGGTTTTTTTTTCAATAATAAAAAGAAGAGAAAATTCAAATAAAAGAAGCAATCAAATATTTGAAACAAACAAAAGTTATAAAGGATTATAGAAAATTTAACTACAAAAATATAAACTTACCTTGATGCATTAACTTGCTGCGGTAATGGTTCAGATTGTGTACGTTCAATTTTTCGATGACCACCACCCATATTTTCAATCAATGTATTTACCCAGGTAACAACATTATTGCCATTTTGGGGATGGGATACAGCTCGAGATAATGCCTGTCTTATCGCTTTTTGTTGATCCTGTTGATTATTATTATTATTGTTATTATTTTGTTGTTGCTGTTGTGTTTGTGCTGCAATCGCATTTATTTGCTGTTGTGTAAATATTGGTGAGTTTGCGGTTGATACAACAGCTGAATCAAAATTATTATTATTATTATTAATTGAATTTAATGCATTCGTTAAATTGTTTATATTACATGCATCCTGTTGTGTTAAATTTCCTCCTGATTGTTGTTGTTGTAGTAATGTACGTGATGAAGATTGATTCTGCAAAAGAAAAATAAAGTAAAGAATTAAAAAATGAAATTACATTTAAGGTAAATGTCAAAATTTTAAAAAAATTTCAAAATGTTTAGAATATTTTACAGTTTTTGTGAAATTTTCTCCAATTTATATTGTGTTATTTGTTATTTCAAATATTTCAAAAAATTTAATGAACTGACATCATTTTTTAATAATCATTGTGTCGAAATCGAATGTGCCATTTTGCAAAAATTTACTATTCTTTTGTACATTTTTTAATTTGGATTACATAATTAAGGACAAACATCAGCCGCCCTTCAGAATTAAAGTACATATAAAATTAAGTAGAACATATCGATGAAGAGTTTCATTCGTTATCTCTGCCTTATTAATAAAAGATAAAGTTACGCCACCTATCTTCCTTCCTCAATAAATCAATACTTATGTTTCAACACATTAGGAAATTAGAAGTTTTGTATAAGAGAATATCAATTTTAGAATCCTTCTGAAATACTTGGAAAGAAAACAAAACAAATAAATTAAATTTCTATCAAATTATTTGTTGCGCCACCAAGTTATGATTCAATTTTGACAAAAAAAAAAAACAAATTAATTTTTTATCATAAAAAACACAACCACCAAAAAAAAAAAATATTTTTTCATTCTGATAAGATAAAATGATCTTGTTATGCCTGACTCTTTTTTTGCTCTGATTTTTTGTCAAAAAGAAAGTCACAATGTCAAGTTTTGAAATTTAATTTTTTTTTCTTTCTCCTCGTTTTTCTTTTCAATTAATTGTGTATTAAAATTTTAGAAAACTTCAAATGAATGTATGGTTTTATAAAAATTCAAGTAAATGAAGGGTCCTGGAAAAGATTTATTTGGGTACCACACATTTTAAAAATTGAAAAAATCAAGAATTTTTTGTATTGTTTTGTATTGTACCTGATTTAAAATGAAAACTATTTAAGGAATTCAAAATTTTTTAAATAGAATCGAAATTAAATAATCGATTATAATTGTTACCATACATCAAGGTTTGTAAGAATGCAAAATTTAAATGCGAAAAAATATTTATGAGAGACGGAAATGTCATAAGTATAATCTTTCAATTAAAAAACAATTTAGTAATTAAATTTTAGTATTACAATTATTGATAATTTAAATAGGATCATTGTATAAAGATTTACGAACATAATTTTTACTGTAATTTAAATGATCTATCAATAAATGAGCAATCTGTTTTTTGTTTTTTAAATTAGAGCACATTCAGCTCTTGTCAAAAAATATAATTTCAGAGGGCCCAAAAACAAAAATTTTGCTTGAATTCGGACAATTATTAAATAACAGAATAAACCATAGGACGTCCGTTTTAAAACCACAGCTCCTTCATTTGATCATGCTTTGACAACTTTAAATCCGATTAAATTCAACCCCTGATGAAAATTAACTTAACATGCAATAATAATTTCAAATTGTCAAATTTTTAACGCAATACTTAGAGGAACTGTCAAACGCAATATATAAATGTATTGTAGCATTTGTAAGGCATGAAATGTACCTTTGTCATAATTATATTAAATTTTCCAGTCTTATAGTTAAAAAAAAAAAAAATAAACAAAATAATTAAATCTGTCTTCAAACTTCACTCTTTAAATAAAATGTTTATCAAATTAAAAAACAAACTCCAAATAAAGTCAAAACAAAACTTAAGACCTAAAATAAAATATTAAGTTAAAATAAAAATTAAATAATAATAAAAATGATAAATGAAAACAATTAATAAACATTGTAATAAAAACTTATCAGAATTTTTTATTTATTTGTTTTGTTTTTTGTATTTTAGAGAAACACAAAAAATAATCTTTAAAGTCTTATCGTAAAATTATTAAGTACTTAGAGTCTTTTTTTTTTTCAATTTTTATTTTGTTTAATAAAAAATTTAATATAGCTATAGTTAAGTACGGCCTAAAAATAAATTAAAATTAAACAAAATAATTTATTAAAGTAATTTATTTAATAAATTTTTATAAATTTTGTTATAAAAAAAAAAAAAAATTTACGATAATAAAAATATTTTCAAGTTTCAGGCATTATTTTATATATGTACACATAATATGTCATACAAAAATAATAATTAAGGTGTGATTATTGGTTAGCTGCGTAGAAAGAAACAAAAACGAAAATTATTTATTTATTGAATATTTTTTTTTTATTAAATAAGTAAGTAAAAATATTGATATCAGCAATATTTCTTATCAAAAAAATAAATATATTTTAATTAAAATGTATTTTTCTAATCATTAATCATTTATTTATTTATTAATTAATCGAAATAAAAATTAAACTTATTATGAATTGATCAAAAATTCAATATTTTTTTAATTAACAATCGATAACAAAATATAAAATTTTGGCACTTTTTTATTTTTTTTTTTTAATTTGATTTCAAATAAAAGGTGACACAACAAAGTAATTATAATTATATATATCGTATCTGAATACCAATTAATATTTTTACGATCATTAATATTTTATACACAATACGAATACAGAACAATGCATTTGAATTGCATTAAATTTGTCAATCAAATTTTTAAATTGTCAATTGTTCGAGTCACTCTCTTTCTTTCTATCTTGAATTAAACTAATTTTGTGTCAGTTTTTTGTACGTCAATAAAATTAATTATTATGAAAATAATTGAAATTTTGAGAATTAGATTGACCGTGTTTTTTTTCCAAAATAAGATTTTATTGAAATTTCACATCAAACTTTAATTAATAATTTGTCAAACTTTCATACAGTAATGCCAAATTTTCATACGGCAATAATTTTATAGAAGGGTATGTACCCACATGAGTACGCAAATGGCTTCAACTTTTCGATTCATTTATTTTAAATTTTAAGTATGTATGTTATACTAAATAATTTTTTCCATTATTTTATAAGAGGCAATATATTATAAGAGTAAATGTATAAACAAAATGATGGAAATGCCATTTTCTTATTTTACAAGAATCACTTTAATTCTAACATCTAACTAATATTTTAATTAATTTTGAAATTTCTATTGTATTTAATAAATTGCTGAACACTTTTAAAGTCATTTTATATTCTTATATTAAGAATACTATAATAATCTTGTATTTTAAATGAATGATTATTTTACATAAATTCTTGAATTCTATTAAAATTTTTGTTGTTTTAAGTTAATGGAAAAAAACCATAAGTATAAGTACGTTTTATAATTAAAAATTTTCATTTTAAAGAGAGAAATGTGTTAATGAAATGTTAAATAATTAATACTAATATTTAATTTAATTGACGTATTAATTAAATGTTTAAATAAAAACAAAAAAAAAATATTTATTTTTAGAATTGGAAAAAAAAAATTCACCAACAACTTGATTTGAAAAATATTGAGTAATCGAACACACCTTAATTTTTATTATCCAAACATATTAACGAAATTAAAAATTTTGATTGAATACAAAATTTAAAAAAAAAAATCCCCTAAAATTAAATTAGAATAATTAAATTTTTATTTATTTTTGTGTTCTTTTCATAATAAAATGAAATAATTATCATTATGTTAATAATAATTTATGAAATTGTGTTAATTTTCACTTTAATGTCAGAATATGTTTTTATAATTCAGGGCTGCTTTCATACCTGATAAATAATACTATCATATTTGATGGAATATTCTAACAGAATGCCATTTTATTTTAAGTTGTTAAAACGAAACCATTTGCATACTCGATTTTTCTCAAAATTTCCTCATATAAGCCTTTTGACGTAGAGGGTCTCTCCCCTGTCGTCAAAGAGAAGATTTTATTTGTAATAAAACGACATTATATAACTGACAAGTGAAATTATAGATTTTATTTTTTTACTGAATTTGTTTTAATTTAGAATGTTAATTTATTTAAAATCAATTATGACTCTCTTGACTTGACGTATTATAAAGACTTCAATGAGATTTATTCAGGCGTTTCCGAGTTAATTTAATGTTTATGTATAAGTTAAAATCAAATGTTAATAAGAACGCTTTTTATTTTGAAAAAATATGGCAACACTTCCATGCAAGTAGGTACGCATATATTTAAATATATGAAAATACATTTAATTAAAATTAATTATTGTAAATTAATTTTTAATTTTAAATTAAATGCCAAAGTTTTGCATTTAATTAGAGAAAAAATTTTGCTTTTTTATAAAAACAAAAGCAGGCCTTACTCAATTAATTTTCTATTTTCAGTTCTTCGATCTTCGTGTAATTCGATACGATATCACAATTTATAATTAATCATTCACATAATTTTTTCAATTCACAATAATAATTATTGTAATTGTGAAAATTCTTATTGTTCTGTTAATATTTTTTCTTCTTGTTTTCTTTATTATAAATTTCTTTCATACATGTCTACAGAGCTTGTGTCACAATAACAATTATGTTAAAAATTATCTTTCAAGTTGTATGAGTCATACTAAGTCATATCAACATAAAAAGACACTTTAGAGCTATTATGAGTAAAAGTTATATGTTTTGTTATTGTCTGTTTTTCGTTCATTTTGTGTTAGAATTAAAAATTTCTTTGTCTCTCAGTTTTAAAATATTACACAAAAAAAAACAAAAAATCATTTTTATCGTTTATAATTTTAATACTTTTTTTTTGTTTTATACAATTTACTCAAGATTAGTTTATTACACTATTTTCTTTAATAAATATACCCACAAACTTTATTGCATATATGTACATACATATATGTATGTAGGTGTGTATATCAATAGTGTAGAATTTTCTGAATGTTTTTATAATCTCAGAAAACCACACATTTGAATATTTTATGTATGAGATTAAGAAAAAAGATTTTATTTAATTTATTTTTTTCTTGCTTTCTGTTCATTATACAAAATTTCTTTGTTTTCTTAAACACGATTTTTATTATTATTATTATTATTTTTTGTCTTAAAAAAACTTATTTTAATGTAATTTTTATTTTACGATAACTGTTACTT